TATATATATAAACTTAAATTTTTATACATTACGGATTTTTAATAAGTGAATAACTAATCTACAGATGATATTGTATTAAACTCCGAATGATTTGGTGTATCAGAGCATCAGTGAATTTATGACATAACAGATTAGCGGTCAGTTAACTTAAACTAATAATATTCAATGATGTATAATGACAAAAAATTTTTGTATGAGAAGAAAATATCAACAGCTCGATAATTTCAAATTGCAATATTGTTATCAATTTATCAGATATTGCTGTATTTACATTTGTTGATATTGTATATTATTTACTTTATTTAAGTTAAATTTATTTAGTTAAAAAATTGATTAACAATTGATAATGTAATGCATTTTATTTTGCTCATGGCGCATTTTATTAATTTTTTTTTATGAAACTACTTATTTTGCTGAATTCTATATCAGTTCTCAAAGTTATCCTGATTAAAACCAAATCACCCTGTATATGACCTGCTATCGTAATAAAATACCCACCTGTGACAGAAAAGAAGTTACCTGTGATATGCAAATACTTTGTTAGGAGAGATCAGTGATGATGCAAAGGTAAGTAGACAACCTCGCAGCAGCAAATGAATTCTTTCTTTTACCTGACAAAGGGCTCACAGTTAATAATCTGACTTTCTTAAGGCAACAAAACTGCTCACTTGGAGTTATTGGGTTGATTATTAGGGTTAATGAGTTTACTCGATTGGGGTTAATGAGTTGACTCGCTTGGAATTAATGAGGACTTGCTTGGGGTTAATAAGTTGACTCGTTTGGGATTAATGAGGACTCGCTTGGGGTTAATGAGTTGACTAGTTTGGGGTTAATGAGTTGAGTCGCTTGGGGTTAATGCGTTAACTTACTTGAGGTAGCAAAGAGATTATAGCAAAACTGTCTACTTACTGCAAGTGAGTTCCTTTCAGCAAAGCAGTTTTTCTTGTGGTAAGAAGGCAACTCACTTGGCGCCTATTTAATGCAGATATTTTGCTACGGTTAATGGATTTTTACTAACCGTAGCAAAGAAATTCTCTCAGTGTAGTCGATGGGTTCTTTATAATAAATAGATGTTTTGTGATCGAGTGTTGAGTCAGTTTTCAGTTGTCTAACAACCGACAGAAAGTTTTCAATTAGGGTATTTACGTAGGTATGCAATAATACTTATATGCATGCGTGATTACATGCACACAATGCAGGCTGGATACAAACTCTTACTTCTCGAATAGGGATTTTCATTTTATGCTTGTTTGAAAATATGTACAACATTTAAGTTGCATTGCATGGTGCACGAAAGAGTGAGGAGAGCCAACAACACCGAAAAATAGTAAATACGGAGTTCACTCGCTTGGGGTTAATGAGTCGACTCGCTAGGATTAATGAGGACTCGCTTGGGGCTAATGAGTTCACTCGTTTGGGGTTAATGAGTTGAGTCGTTTGTGCTTAATGAGTTGACTTACTTGAGGTAGCAAAGAGATTATAGCAAAACTGTCTACTTACTGCAAGTGAGTTCCTTCCAGCAAAGCAGTTTTTCTTGTGGTAGGAAGGCAACTCACTTGGCGCCTATTTAATGCAGATATTTTGTTACGGTTAATGGATTTTTACTAACCGTAACAAAGAAATTCTCTCAGTGTAGCGGAACGATTAATGCGGTAAGCGGTAGTACAAATACCAGAAAGAAGGAAGCGATTTAGCAAAGCAAAGATACAAACGATAACTATAGAGTAGACTTGGCTACTATCTTTACACAAAAAGCAATAAAACAGTAACAGCGGGGCTCCTCAATGCTGGTAGGCGGCTGGCAGAAAATCTCTGAAAGGAAAGTATGATTAATTACGACCTGCGTTTCAACTCATAGGACAGAAAAGGAGGAAAGGATGACAATATCCTATCAGCTGAACGCGCAGTTAGGTTAAGTGTACCGGAAAGAGACAACAGTACACCCAACCACGTCGTACCTGAAAAAGAAATAAGATTAACTACGACCTGCATCTAAACTCATAGAACAGAAAGGAAATGGGACACAACATTCTATCAGCAGAGCGCGCAGTTAGGTTGAATTCACCGGACAGTGACAACAGTGCACCCTTCCTTGTCGTGTTCCTGCGGTTCGGTCCGACCTGCGTTTCAACTCATAGGACAGAAAAAGGGGGAGACAACATCCTATAAGCCGAACACGCAGTTTAGGTCTGGTACACCGGACGGAGACAACAGTGCACCTTTCCTTGTCGTGGTACGGCGGACAACTGAAAAGACAAGATATGATTAGTACTAGCGGACAGCAGCCAAATCTTTACCTATGTTCTCTAAACCTTGACTCACTTCTCTTCCTGGGCACGTCTGGTCGGTCGGAATGCTGGAACAGGACTACAGGACTTTAAAATGCCAAAAATAATGCTGGTGCGGTAAACTACATTTATTAAGATATAATTAAATAAAAACAAACCAAATGTGGGGTGTCGGAAAACCACTTCGTTACAATATTTTACAACACAGCTGATAATTCTGCAAACTTAATAAAAATCGGTTAACATTCGATCAAAAGATAAACAAGAGTTTCATAATCGAATACTGGGCAAATTCTCTGTTACATCGCTTTATAAATTTCAAATTTTCGATTATCTGATCAAGTTAACAGCATTATCGAACTTATAGCGTAAAAATTGCTGGTTGACCCTTTAAATTATTAATCCCAGAAGGCATTGTTTGAAAATATAGTTATCTTTTTACGTTCAGATACAATCTATAATAACAACTCACAACTCTATCCATTGATTTTAAAGGATGTAGTTACTTAGTCTAATAAATTCAACCCCTGACCTATAATTTCGATTCACTTGAATCCAACTGGGTGCTGAAATAATAAAGCTTGTTTTGATAGACAAGAAATTATCTGGATGCAATATTAGACAAATAATAGGGCTTTTCAATAAATATATGAATTTCTAAATTAACAAAGCTTAAATAGAAAATATTACTTCAATTCTGTAAATTAATAAAGGTACCTTTTCGGTACATAGGGATTGTGTAAAAAGTGGGAGATTATTACAGTCTAATTGAACAGGAAATAGAAAATGTCATTTTAGTCAAAATATTTCAGTCAAGGACTTAAAAACGCTAAGTAATAAAATACAGGATGATAAGATGTGTTGTATTTTTTAAGTAACTTCAGAAAAAGTTACGAAATAAAATTATAAAATTCTCATGAAAGAAATTCACTCGTACAATGTCACAGACGCAGGAAGTAATCTGGTTCTTCTTATATAAATAATAGCTTAGAAAAGTTTACACCGTTTGAAAAGCGTTGAGAAAACTTCTAAGAAAATTTTATAAAACTTAAAATTTTACAATTTTGTAATTTAAATAGTTTGCAGAAAGTTTTTAGAGTTCTATATTAAAGGTAAGAGCTGTTGTCTTATTTAAGTCTTAAAGACATAAATTTTGTTGGTATTTGAGGGAGTCTCAAATAATTAGTGGTATTTTAAAGTTAGGCGAATGCAGTTAATTTCGTCATAACTAGTTAAGTAAATTTAAAATTACGATCTCTTAGTGAATATTGAGTAACTAAAGTTTTGGAAGTCACTACGAACTTAATATAGCATTCAGCAATTTTCTTGGTAATCCTGGAAGGGAATAGGTCGCCACCTCGAGCCCCAGATTCGAGACCCGTATCCTGCCGAATGCCTAGCAGAGAGTGAGAAATATACCAGTGAGATTTTTATGTGTGCATTTTTATTTTATCTTCTCCAACCCGACCTATAGGGAGAGGGAAACGTTAGGGGGTAGTTTACTTATTTTTTTGTGTAGGTTGGCGCCCTGTTAACATCTTTTATCGTCCCTCTAACGTTCTCCTCAAACAGGCTAATATATATGTTGAGAATCCATTATTAGAACCGACCCACTGCCCATTGCCGCCACTATAGAGGGCTGCCGTTCGCACTTTATAGTATGAACACAGAAAGAACGCTATACTATTTTTGGAGAAAAAGGTTATGTAAAAAGTATAAAAAAGTTGAATAGAATTTTTTTCAAAAAGTTATTATTAGAACTGAACATTTGTTTTTGAGGTGCTGTTTGAAAAAAATGTATTATTTTTCCAAAGATAATACAAATATTTTTTTAATAAAAGAACTTCCTTGTATATCCACTATTGCGAAAGAAAAAACTAATAATAATAATAATTGCGAGGATTAACCTAAAAATTGGAGACTTGTTCTGTGAAATTGTTGCAATCTACTGTCTAACGATTTGTGCTAAGTTTCATTTTTAGAGTTTCGTATTTCACTTCATACAGAACTTTTTGCTTAAATTTTTTTTGTATCTCTTGCTTCAATTTGAATATACAGGTTGTTTCAGAAAGACCTCCCGTAAATACAGGGGGTGATAGTACAAGAAAGAATAAGAATTTTTTGTCTTATGAACTATATGTCTATCTCCTCTTGTTTTCGAGATACAAAGCGACAAATTAAAATTTTTTAAATAGAATTTTTTCGAAAATTTGCAAATGGTGCGAAATATTTTTATGAAATTTGGTATTCCGGAGTTTCTAAGGATGCCAAATACGTTGGTCTAATTATTTTTTGGACATTTCATAGAGGGCGCTAGTTATGCTACATTCCTATTACATTTTAAGTTCTGAATTTTTGAGATTAGGTTATTTACCATTCGGGCTCCAATTTCTAATGTACAATTTTATTTTCTAAAAATAATGTACTTTTGTTAGAACTTCCTAATGTGGAAGGTTTTCGATAAAAAAAGTTTTTAATTGAACTCTTAACAATATTACGATGTATAAAATAAGTGACTTTTCTCAAAGTAGGCTTATGTCAAAACTTATTGATGAATGTCTCATAAACAACGTATACATTCTTAGTAATATTTTAAACTAATTAACTAATTAACTTTATATCAAAATTTCAAGAACATGTAGAGAATCAGCTGCTTTTTTCCATAAATAATAAACAAATTAAAATAATCCTCATTAGTACAGTCATTGAAGCTGAAAATCAGCTGTAACCTCCGAATTCTTTGAAACTGCATGGATTTGCATGAAAATTTAGAATAAGGCTCATCTTAGGCTCAAGTTCAAAAGTGACATAAGCCCGATTGACGCTTTTTGTTTGTTTTTTGGAATGATTAAATCGTGCAATTATTTAAAATAAAAGTTATCTTATAGCTAATAAAAGAATTTTTCCCTTCCAACCCCTAAAAACCACCCCTGTATTGACAAAAATGATAAAAAATTACTTTTTAAAAGCTTGGAATGCTTTAACGGTGCAATTATTTAAAATAAAAATTCCCTCCTTGCTTATGAAATAATTTGTATCTCATAACACTTTTCAACCCTTATAAATCACCCCTATGCTAAAAATATTATAAAAAATTACGTTTTACATCTTAGAATGCTACAATTGTGCAATAATTTAAAATAAAAATTCCCTTATATTGTTTATGTAAGAATATTTTACTTTTGCCATTTTCAACTCTTATAAACTACACATTTACCAATAATAATGTAAAATATTTTTATTGAATCCTAACATTTTGCTCCAAAAATGCCGATTTTGCTTCGAAAAAATGTCATTGGTATTTTTACTATAACTCGGTTAATTTTGAAGCTATAGTATCCTACAAAAAAGCATTTTAAAGATAATTTCAAGAGCTGTAAGATCGTTTGCATATAATACCTTTAAGTCCTTCCTTTTTTAAAGGGAAAGGATCGAAGGGCTCGAGACAGGTCGTATTTTCACTAAAATGAATACATCAAGCGGCGATATCTCCTTTATTTTTTATGCTATAGGAATAAAAAAAGCAAAATATTTATTGAAAAATAAGCTACATTTTTATTGTTTATTATTTTTTACGTATCTTTCATAGTTTCAGAGTTATTATATAAATAAGGCAATTTTTTTTGAATAATGAAACATACGTTTTCAAGTTTTACCGTACATTATTCAAAAAATACGCATTCTGAACCGGTCTAACTTCAGGACCGTATGAAAAACACTAAAACAAAACTAATTGTAATGGGTCTACGATTAATTTTAATTCTAATGAAAATGGTAGGTACTGCGTTTACTGCTCATTTTTTCTTAAAAAAATATGAGCAACCCATCTGTTTTTGACGGTAACTCCTTCAATTTTGCTCTAATTAACTTTTATAGGTACTCATTTTGAAGGTCTTTTTGAGTGCTACAAAAAACTCCAGGAGCGTTATACACGTAAAATTAATCCTTTCTCCGTTATTTGACGTTGAATACATCGATTCGAATATTCCCCCCAAAATAAGTCCTCTTCCACTAACCATATTTCGCTTTGTATAGGACGTACCACACTTTTTAAAAAACGATTTTCTTTTTTTTCTTTGTTTATTTATACACTACATTTTTGTTCAATACACTTTTTTTAATAAAATGCGTAGTTTTTAAGTTATTCCCGAAAAATACTTTGAAAAAATGTTTTTTCACTCAAAATTCCATGTTTTCAATCGTGAATAGGTACTATTGATTTCTCGAAAAAATTATTCGAATATTTTTTGCTCAAAATTTGATTCTCTATCGATTTTCAGCGTTATTTAAAAAAAAATTCCACCCCCGAGAAGGTGTGTCAACCACCTAACAGGGTGTAAGCGTCAATTGGCGCTACGTCACTAATTTTCTCTAACTATCTGCCAAATTTCAAGTCGATCGGATCAATTCATGAAGTCGCGTCATCAAGAAATTGGACAAGTGTAATGCACCAAATCTGCTGTCAAATAACTCCTTGAATTTATTCATGAAGTTCATGACGAATTAGAGCATGTTCTAATTTTCGTCAATTTCTTCGTGAAATTCGGAAGTACCAACCCAACAGATTTCCAGCCTCAGATCAGTAATGAGGTTATGTTATTGGAATATGTAAATAATTGTGGGCGTCGCCGTCGTGTTAGTTTTGCATTGTTTTTACTGATTTATTACTTACAAAAACTAATATTTATATAATATTTGTCAGAACGGTACCGCTGTTGTATCACTACAATTATGAGTGGAAAGGTGACATTTTTCAAATTTATTTGCTTCTTTGATTCGTTGGTAGAGCTGATTCATACGTCAAAAAACTTGACAAAGTCTGTAGCAGTGTAAAACCACACTGTTTACCAATAAATTCGTTAATTAATTCATGAAGAACTTCGTCAATTTATTCATCAATAAATTGTCAATGTAAAACAGCTATAACAAAGACATATTAACAATTTTTATCTGAATTAAAAGAAATATATGTATTATTATAATTACGAACTTTTGTTGGTCTAATATTGTTAAAAAATTCTTGTAAATACAATTGTAGAATCAACTCTAACGAATTATGAGATTCTAG